CAAGTACTAATGCTTACTTCAATAAAACAAAGTCAGTAAAAAAGGACATTTGTAACCATGTGAAAATGTCTAAAATCACAGTAACAGTATGTGCAGTGGACTGGTTCCTTTGTCACTTCTTCTGGTAAACAGGGTGCTCTTAAAAACAACAAACAAATGTTCCACCAACCGATAACAGCAAATAACAATCATAGAAAATAGTCGGGTCTGACTTAGAGGGAGTCCTTGTCAAATCTCTGTGTCTCTTTTCTCAGTTGAACCCGCTCCCTCTCCCCAAGTCACACCCGTCAACACCTTCCTGTCCAACAGCCTGGTGACCGACCTGGAGGGACTGTCTCTGTCGGACACTGTTCTCTCCCCAGCAGTAAGTACTTCTTGTGTCTCTCACCTTTCTGGTTAGCTCTTTAACTTTCCAAGAAATTATTTGATATGGTTCCAAAGGAGATGATACCTGTTTAAATTTAAAAACAAGGCAGACCAACAAAGCAGGACTGACAGAAAATATTAAAGGAGAGAGTTAATGAGGTGTCAACAAAGTCCTGATCTGGCTAGGACTAAGCAGACAGGGCAGGGGTTTTCAATTAACTGTGACTCAGGAACCATCATTCTGACTAAGAAGTAACCTAAGGACCACTGTTGTGGGGTGAATAGACTGGATGGGCACTATTTTAATCCTGCAGGTTACCTGGGCTTTTCTAAATGTTATATATTTGCATGGATTTGATCATTTACAAACAATGAATAATACATGGAAATGTGTTTGAAAAAATGTAATAATAAAAAAAAGAAGATTCCTAGAGTGAATCTACATTATTGAAGGCATGGTCAGGGACCACCTGTGATATGTTTGCAGACCACCAGTGGGCCATGAACCGCTGGTTGAACAACCATGAGGTAGGCCAGTCTATCACAGGGCTGACATGTAGACAAACAACCACACACACCCACACTCACTCCTATGGGGAACCACCAATCAAGCTAAGCTGCGTGTCTTTGGACTGTGGGGGGAAGCCGGAGCAGCCCAGTCTTCTGGGCATCTTTTAACCTTCTCCACCAACCATGCAAAGAATCCAAACAGTGTTCATTAGAAACTGGTTAATAATGCTCTGCCTCCTCCCTCTCCACAGACCATTGCTCCCTCTAGCGCATTAAAGACCTACGAGTTGCTGCACCGGATTACAGGGGAGGGTCTGTCGGTGGAGTATTGCTTCAGCCGACAGCCATTCAGCCCTGACGCAAACATGGTGGCTGTGCAGATGGAGTTCACCAATAACACCACCTCTGACACCAAGAATCTTCACATGGAGGAGGTGAAGCTGCAGTCTGGGATGAGGGTCAAAGAGTTCCCAGAGATTGGTGAGTGATGGGTTGAATTGGTCCATATAGGCCTGAATGCGTTGAATTGAATAAACTGCAACCTGATGATCTGATTGCGGAGCCTTACCATGTATTGAGATAAAGTCAAAGGGTGGTGCTGGATGTAAGGCCACAGGGTCTTGAAAAATAAAAAGGAATGTGCACAACAAATATCATGGCAATCTGGTGTTAATACCTTTTGTCTTGTCTTCTTTTTGTCCACAGCTATACTGGGAGCAATTTTTTCAGGGGACCATTAATGTCTACACCAAAGTTATTAGAAATATACTGTAGATGTCTAGCATTGATTTTGCTGTGGACTAAAGTCTGGGACTGACAGACAGACACTGTACTCTCAATGTTAGAATTGCCATGACTAATCCAACAAAAGCTATTTAAAAACTGCACAATAAACCCATAAGGTTCAATGTAAACGTATAAAAAGGAAAATTAATTTTTACAACAAAACAGGTGAGAATATACAACAGGATACATGCTGTAATGTATGTGACTAAATATGGCATTTACTGTACAGAAAGTGTTGGTAGTTTTGGCAGTTTAGGTACAAATGCATTGAAATGACTTTTGTGAAGTTTTCAAAACAAAAGCAGGAAATGTTGCTTCCTGCAAGGATCCTCTTAGGGTCATGTCCGATTTCATCCTACATCAAAACTAGTATTCAGAGTACCATATATGCAGTTATCCTTGCATACTTACTGTTTTTGCAGTTACTACGCAAACAATCACAGTACATTACCACTTTGCACTAAGCAGAAGCTCAGCAGCAGCTGTGTGTGAATGAATGTTGGTTAAAAAAGCCTTTACAAATATACATCATTTTATTTTATTTTATTTTTTGACCTGCCGGTGCAGTATTGTATCCAGTCCTTACAGATCATTGTAGTTGAGTTGCTGCCTTTATGTTGTTGTTGCTGTTGTTGCTGTGTGTGTGTGTGTGTGTGTAACTACATTGTTGTCTTTTTATCTTTCTGTCGGCAGAGCTGCTGCCAGCAGGTGAGACGGCCACAGCTGTGATGGGCATTGATTTCTGTGACTCAACACAAGCAGCAAACTTCCAGCTGTGGTGAGATGGATTCCATGTTAGAGTGCAGACTCTGTGTGTGTCACCACCCTGCAGCCGTCCTACTGTGAAGCAGAACTGCTGCCATAAACACACTATCTCATCGATTTGAAATAGCACTCATTTTGTTTTGCATGTGTGCACAGTTCAAGTCAAGTAGTGGATTGACCCCACAGTCATATAATCCTACTAGGGGTTTGTGCACTGAGGAAATGAATAAAACAATACTGACTATTGACTATTGAATCAGAAATTTCCCTGTCCTATAGGATAAATAATAATAATTCCTAAAACTGCATTTTTTGTCTCTCCCCATTCTTAGCACTAACACCAGGAAATTCTTTGTATCGATCCAGCCACCAGTTGGAGAACTGATGAGGCCTGTCTTCTTGACAGAGAATGAGTTTAAAAAGGAGCAAGGTGAGTGACAAAAGGAAGCACTGAGTGAGCTTTGAGCTCTAACAAACTCATAGTGACTCTTTAAAAATCGACATCCATGGTTCCTTTGCACCAATATTTACCCAACCTACACAGACCCCCACCCCCCTCCTCCCCTCTCTAATGACTCCTGTTGACTCCCCCTTCTTCCCTCTTCCTGCCTTGTTAATCAACATTTAACTACATCTCCAGGTCTTTAGCTGCAGACAAGCTCACCTGTGCTAACCTGCATCTTTGAATGGCCGCTCACAATTCACTGTTGTTGTATCATTAATAACTGTTTTGCTTTTTGCTACTGGCAGAGGAAAAATGAGCAGGATCTAACCTGAGAGCGTTCCAGTCTGACCAGTGCTCTACTCCCACTCCTGCAGGTCAGCTGATGGGTATGAATGAGATCACAGAGAAGCTGACTCTGGGCGTAAAGTGTCGAAATGAACACGCCATTGTCCAGAGGGTTACCGCCGCCGCCAACCTCAGCAGAGTCCCTTGTGGTTCAGATAAAGAGTGCAGGTGAGAAAGTTGTAAGGATAGCAGGATTATGAAGACAGTTTTATGTCAACCGTGACTTTTCAAAAATGCTGACTTAAAGTGCCCTCATCTGTTGGACTACTGCACTGGTTTTAAAACTGTTACATCACAAGGCCTTTAATACTTCAATGAAAACTGAGGCTCCAGAAAGCACAAAGCTACAGATAAGCACATCAGACAATCTAGTAATGAACAAAGGGAACAGACCAGTATATACTGATCAGCCACATCATCTGACCTGTCGAGTCATGGACCTCACATGACCCCTGAAGGTGTCCCCTGGTATCTGACACCAAAACCCTTTTCAGACATGCACTGCAACCCTGAAATTATCTAGACACCTGGAGGAGCTGTATATGTGAACACATACGGTATGTCCGAATCAGTTGGCCTTGACATTAAACAGAATTTACCCTGCCAGCTCCATAATACAAAATCTGTGTGCAAATGTGAGTAGAGCAGCTTTTTGTCCAGGGAATATACACCGAGCGTGTCTGTGCCTACGAAAATGTCTCACTGGAGACATAGCGAGACTGGGCAGCTTCTGGCATTAAGGGTTGATGCTGAAATCACAAATGCTCTCAAGGTGTTCCCCCAGAGCTAAATCCCTGGGACTCCCTACCAACCAGTCAGAACCGTAGAAGCTTCTTGGATCAGCAGTGAAACATTTTCAAAAGAACCTCCAGCAAGTTGCTGATTTTTCCTCTTTGGATATACAGTACAAGGACCTGGATGACTGAGAATCTCCACAGACTTAATTGTGTGGTTATTTTAATACAGGTCAGGGTAATGATTTTTTATGTAGGCGTGCACAACAGAGATGCCGAGTCCATCAACATTTCCTCCCAGTAAGAGAGGATTTCAGTAGCCAAGGTGAGAGGGGAAATGAACGGACCGTTGAAGAAAGCTTTCCTATACATTTCTTTACATCATATTGGTGGATGTTGAAAAGACCAGTGTGATAATTGCATAGTTAGTTCATTATTGTGCATAATAGTTCATAAACTCAAAAGGTGTTGTTTTCTTTGTTTGAACCTAAAACCTGCTGATGACCTTTCCCTCCTTTATTCTGTGGCTTCATCTTTACTTCCGATCTTTGCTGCTTTGACCTCAGTCCTCCTGTTCCTCCTCCTGATCATCCTGTCCACAGGTTCGCTGGCAGGACGGTGACCAGCGGCAGCTTGGTGTTGGTCACCGTGGCGACAAGAGACGAAGGAGCAGCCCAGTTGATGGTCAACTGTGAGAAAATGGTGATCGGCACCATGCTGGTGAAGGATATCCTCCTGGCTCTGACGCAGTGACCTGCACCGGCGCTCAACCTTTGCCCTCTGCCCTCTCGCTCCACCCAACTCTCACATATCATCCAAGACTCATCAAATGTGTAGCATCTTCTCTGTTCTCCTGTAAACAGCATCAGTGAGGACACTTCTAGAATATGTTTTTCTTGTTTTGTTTAAGAGCCCTCCACTTTTAGAAAGAAATGCTGTGTGCTACAGCTGTAGGTGATATTTATGACAATCAGACATGACTGATATTACACCTGATAAATATTTTGCTCCCTTTTAAAGTTTCTTACATGTTATCCAAAAATTACTTATTTTTTTAAGCACATTTCCCTTTCTTAAATTGGATTTAGTGGATCAAAAAGTTGTAAATAAACCATAAAGATGTGTGCATCTTTTAAACGTTCAAAACCTTTACATTTACTTTAGATACAATGTAACTCCTATACAAATACAAGTGAGACTAACAAAAAGGTTCATTCTTGGCCTTGGCAACAGCAAATTGACACACACAAAAAAAAACTTTTCCCAAAGCTTTCAACCACATCTTGCGAGCTTCCGCACTGGATGGAGTTGCTCAGTTTCCAATGACTAAGACTAAATGAACACTGGAGGCAGAAAACATCAGCATCAGCATGTGAGGACAAAGCATTGAACTACAGCCGCACTGCTGGAATATTACAGCAGTGTGATCCTGAGAAAATAAATGGAAGAAATTACTTCATTTATAAGCAAAGATGACCTAGCAAGTTTTTATTAGTCTTTAACAAGTGGATGCACAAACCTCTCACACCAGTTTTAATTGTTACCTTGTGAGTTATCAGCCGTCAGACTATTTTAAGATGTAGATACTATAGGTAATAGAAAATATACCATAGGTATAACTTCCCCAACAAGAGATCGCCACAAAAAAGCACCAGTCTGTAAGATCCAGATATTAAATTCTAATCATGTTTCATTACGTTAATGCACCACGACAGCTCACCTAAGGCAGCAACTACCAAAAACTGAATCATTCCATTTTGGCATAATAAGCAAAACACCAAATCTTACCAACAATAAATGTGGGGGAAAAAAAAGGATTCTCATCTCACAATGTGTGATTTTAACATTTGCCTACAGAAGCTGTCCTAATGCACATGTTTGTCACAATAAGTGGGGCATTCATAAAAACTGGAGATCTATAACCGTTATTGTATGCATCATACAGTGCTGCTGTAAGGTACGGTGTGTGTGTATGTGTGTGTGTGTGTGTGTGTGTGTGTGTGATGATACTGAATGTTGACCTGGCAAACATTATCTAGCTGTTTTCAGACATAACTCTTGTAAAACTTGACATCACCATGAAGCGATGACATCAAAACAAATACACTTTACTTCCCTTTGACTCTATGTAAAGGTAGTGTTTAGTTCATGAGAAGAAATTTGAATACGTTTATATCATGTTTGAATATGTGCTTATGATAATGTCAGACATTTTGTTAACTACACTGTTTTCATGCCTTTCATTTTGGTTTCAAGTCATGCGGCGCCCCTGTTGTCCAGCGACTGCACGTTCTTGTATATTTAGCGCATTATCTGTGTATTAATTTTTGCTGTGTTTCATCAAAGTAGTACAACTTCAGCCATGGTCATAGAAAACTGAGCAGTAGTGGACGGTTTTATTTTGGCCTGTTGCATCGTTGACCATTTATCCACTCAGACTTGACGCTTCCACTCACTGCAGCGCAGTCATGATGAAAAATGTAAAGAAATTCTGGTTTGATGTAAAATCCAATGGAAAAGAGTATGCTCTCAAAAACTGTTCTCCAAATCATAAATCATGTCTGGCAGCTTATATGATCTGCATCGGCTTGCAAATATCCAAAGTACGGTTTATGACATCCTGTGTGTGGTTGTGAAAAATGGTCCTGAAAAGTATTACAAGTTTATTTATTATACAAATAAAAAAAGAGCTACACTGTTGTGTCTTCTGTCTTGTAGTCTACCATACCACAGAACTAAAATACTGTCTAATCTCAAACCAACAGCTGTAATTTCTGAAAGAATGTCAGTCTCAAAAGACCAACAGTGTTATGACAGAAAGAAGAGGTCAAGTCATACTAATCCATCTTTGGCCTTTTTTGTAGCACATTCCTCTAAAACATGGACAGTAGTTTCCTGAATGTGTCCTTCAAACCGTCACTACATTCCAGAGGGAACTACTGCACTTCATGACAGCCTGCCATCCTCTGACAACTTGTCATTTACTGGCCTTTTAAATGAGGTAAGGTAAATGGCACAGAGAGATGACAGAAGGCACAAACAGAAGATACACAATCAGAAAACTGCAAAGGCAGAAATCCTCAAACCTGCTTCTTTACAGACTTTCAGAGGATGTTTGTAGTAACTTACTAATGTAAAGTAATGTGAGGCAGAGTCTGAGCACTCAGGTGAGCTCAGACTGCCTGGTCTGGGGAAGCAGACAGGCCACCAGTCCTCCAGTCAGCAGCAGAGCAGAGGCCAGCAGGATTGGTACGGCACAGTTTGTCTCCACCAACTTTCCAAAGACTACGTTGCCTGTGATCGCTGCCACTCGGCCCACTCCCGTGAAGAACCCGAGAGCAGAGGACCTTAAAGAGAGAAAGTGCAAGAACATCCGTGCTTCATTTACCTTGTTAAAGTGTGCATAACAAGACAACTGTTGATTTATTTGACTAACTGTGTTATATTTGTCATCTGAAAAAACTATGTCCTTATTTTGCATGACTAAAGAAAATGTATTTGTCACTGCCTACTTTACTGAATGTTTGCCCCAGACATTTCGCAACAAGTGCTGTCAACATTGTTTTTGTCCTATTTTTAATGCTGTATAAAACTGAAGAGCCAAAACTGCCTATTCTGAAGAAAGGAAATGAGGTTTGATTTATTTTCTCTGCTAATAAGGAAAAGGAAGATAGAAGGTCAAAAGCATAACCTCCTAAAAATGGCATAAGAACTAAACAGCAGTACCAAAAAACATTGCTGGAAAACTTCACTCTATAACAGATGTTCCACATTCATCACAGTTTATGGCTCATAATATGAACTGCAAGCAGTTTAAGCAAAAGCGAGTTCCTGCACAAGGACTTTAGAGGTCTCAAGGGGTGAAAGTCACCTGTGTTCTAGGAGGAAAACATAAAAAAGAAATAGTGAAACAACAAAATCTAATGTTGTGTAACAGAACTATTTTTCCTTTCTTATCCCTTTAATTATCATGCATGCCCTCAGTTTCATCACATGGCAAGGAGAAGAAAAATATATCCATAAACAAGACAAGGTACCTCAGCTGAGTCGGGTAGAGCTCTGTTCCCACCACGTCCAGAGCATTCCAGGAGATCACGGACACGCCACTGAAGACACAGGAGAAGACCAGACTCTGAGCTTTTGTCTGGACGACATAAATGAGGAAGACGCTCAGACTGGACACCAGTAGGCTGCAGGCTGGAGAACGAAGATCAGACATAAAGTGTAAAAATAAGAAGCTGGTGAATAGATGGTTCCCGGCAGCATGATCATGTAGTATCTCACTTCTCTCTACAACATTTGTTCACGGTGTAACTGTTTCTAACTCAGTTCTTAAATACAAGATTGAAGCAATTCAATCAATTTTTGGATGGTAGTGCATGTGCGGTGTGTGAAGGCAGCAGGTGAGTCAAGGCTAAACAAATCATTTCAAAGTAAATAAATCCATCCATTATCTATAGTGCTTATTCCTAAACAGGGTCGCAATCCCAGCTGACATTGGGCAAGAGGTGGGGTCCATCCTGGACAGGTCGCCAGTCTGTCATAGGGCTGACACGTAGACAATCAACCACACACGCTCCTACGGGCAATTCAGAGTCACCAGTCAACCTAAGCTGCATGTCTTTGGACTGTGGGAGGAAGCCGGAGTACCCGGAGAGAACCCTCACAGGCACGGGGAGAACAAGCAGACTCTGCACACAAAGGGTTGAACCCGGAACCTTCTTGATGTGAGGTGACAGTGCTAACCTTTGTGCTGCCTCAGTAAATAAATCCTAAGAGAAAATCTAACACTGAGCTCGAGGAGAGAGGTTGGAAAACATTACAAACCAGAAAAATAAAGCATTTGTCAAACAACAGACTCACACAGCAGAACCTTTCCTCCAGTCCAATCCATGATCAGGATGGTCAAAATGTTGCCTGGTAAGTTTGATGCAGCAATGATGAAGCTCTCCTTAAAGACTGATGAAGAACAGATACATGAGGGAAAGTAAGAACAGTATGAAGTAACAGATTTGGTTCACAGGGGGGCTGAAGCTTATCTCAGCATACAATAGGTTCGGACATGTAGATTTGTATTAATTACAATAAAAAATAAAAAACTTAAAATTCATTTATGCTAGATTTTCTCTGCTAAACTGTATTCTTCTTATATTTTTCAGATGCAAATGTTCTTCCATGGATGATTTCCAAACTTCCTGTTCAGCTCTGTGTTCATTGGCTGGAAGAAAAAAGCCACATAAATTCTTTGTGCTCCAAGAAACACACCTGCTGTCTCCACCGGGTAGCAACTTTGGTTGTGGAGTGGAGATGGGAGGGACACGTTGGCACAGGGTGAACCGCCGTGCTCAAGTCTCTGAAGCAGCTCCGGGAACCACATCCACAGCCCATAGTAACTGCAAACACAAACACAATAAAAGCGATTTGAGGCTACTTTGTATTGTAAAATTATCCAAAATACAATGCATCTCCGATACAGCAATGAGACTGTTGCTCTATCCAGATAGTGAAACTTGAGCCGCTAGTATTAAACATTTTGCGCCTTTTAACAGATCCCTAACCTTCGGTATAAACCCCTACAGGCATGTTGATAATGATCGTTTTGAGCAGTTAAGTACCATGATTTCTGGTTGTTGAAGATAATATACATCCAACAGTTATCTCCCGCTGCCATTCAAAGTTGCACAACCGCCTGCCGTAGACTTATCACATTAGCAGTTGGAACGTACATGATAAATACAAGCCCAGAACCTGTCTGTCTGAACAAGTCGGACATAAACCCGACAACAGAAGTATAAAGGAGAACTCCAGTTTCACTACAGGCTCTGTTTTTATGCAGAAAGACAAGTGGGATTTCTCACCCAAAGGAAAGGCAATAGAAGACCATGAGCAGAGCGATGCTCCTGGATTTGAGTGAGCCAGTGAACATCCGTTTCACAGGCACCAAGCCCTGCAAATTAAACCAAAGAAATGATCAGTCTTTTTTCTTTTTCTGAAGATTAAGTGATAATAAAAAACTAATCAAGTTTAGTTGCAGCCCTAAACCTCGAGCCAGGTATTGTTATAGTGCAGAGAAGGCAGAACGGCAGGTTAATGAGGTCCAGTGTTAAAGCTCTGGTACCATAAACATGGTAAAATATTCAAACAAGATGTCTCCTACTAACATCAGTTTGGAAAAAAAATTGGTTTTACACTATTCTGCAGCTGCTGTTTAACTCAGGCAGCCTCTAAATCATGTCTCTGGGTGTCCACTCATGGATTTGTGACATTACCCGTTTTAAATTGCTGGCAAGCCCTTCTCTGCATGAACCCCGTGTTCTGGTCTCCTCCGGGTTCCCTCTTTGCTTGGATCCCGTGCTCAAACCAAATTCCTGCAGAATAGTTCAAGATGAGACTTCTCACACTTACACTAGATTATTATACTGTAGAACAAAGTGTTCAGAGAACCGTACTGGGAAAGCTTTTCCTCTTTCC